GCTGCAGATCGTCAGCAGACAGCCTTGTCTTTCTCCCTCTGAGTCACTGGTGGATTAAAATGTCTGATCTCCCAGTTACTGGCTCAAGGCTTACCTGACAGGGCTTTATTGAGATTAGTTCCATCATAGCCATCACGATGAAACTTGCAGATAACATGAACTTAGGTGACAAGACTTACTCTCAAACTTTTTGGCCTCTTGTGTTTTTCAGATGACTCTGTAAGACCAAATGTGACTTTAAAGGCCATGATCATAGACCCTGAAGTGGTGTTCGTTGCGAACCTGACAAAGGCCGATGCTCCTGCCCTGATGGCCTCGTTCCAGTGCAGCCTCTCCCTGTCAACATCCAAACCTGAGCAGATGATGGAGGCGTCTGTGAGAGAGCTTAAAGTGCTCGCCTGCCCTTTTCTCAGAGAAAAGCGAGGGGCAAACGTCACTACAGTAAGCACTACTGTGCAGCCTAACCCAGGCTCGAGGAATGGCAGCCACGGTTGATTCGTTTAGTCCCAGAATGTGTGAGCTCTGCGGGGCGCAGAGTGGATTTCCTGGCCCTTGTGGTTGTACAGAGAAGGGTGTTGAGCTCCAGAGAGGTTAACCAACTTACCCGAGGCCGTCAGTGAGAGAGCTGGGATCAGCACCACATGAATTTGCTTCCCACTCTGGCATTTGCTCTTGAATAGAGTGGAGTTTTCGTGCAACTCAGCATTCTTTTCCATCTGTTTCTTTTGTGGATACCTAGGGAATTATTGAATGAATAAGTAGTAAAATATTTAAGCTTAGAATTTTTTAAAAATTGGACTCGTGACCCAAAGAAATTTGTGTTCTGCTCCTATTATGTTAACTTTAACAATGGCAACAATGAAAAAAACTCAGACAAAGGGACAGTTAACTTCAATTGTGTTTTCACAACATTATCGAAAGATACAATTCTAGTAACAACACAGTTTCCATAAAAAAAATTTTTAGTGTTAAATTGGTAATTTTTTGGTAAAAATGATTATTTTGTCATGCCACTTGTCTGTAGAGTAATTTAAAATTAAATTTGCAGACAAGCTTAACAAAAAGACATGCAGTTCTGGGCTTTATCCATACTTTATAATGAAATATAAATTTGGTAGGATCATCTTCTATCACACATCATTGAAAGGTCATTAATTAATTGATTAATTACATGCTCATCCTAACTTTTTTATAGATCAACAGTATCCTGTACAAATTCCCATTCATTTTAGGTACAAGAGGGCTTTGTTTATGTTTTTCATAGATGAAAGCATCTATATTCCTTAAAAAACAAAACAAAAATGAATTCACTGCACTTAGGTTGCTTCTGACTGAGAGCAACACGACAGGACAGAGAGGAACTGCCCTGTGGTTTTCCAGACTGTCCGTCTGCCCAGTAGAGAAAGCCTCATTTTTCCCCACGGAGCAGTTGGTGGGTTCAGCCCACTGCACCACCATTGAGTTGGAAGATTTGATATTTATTCTTATAAGGACCTTACATGATATTCAAGACTGACCGGCTACTTACCTGAAAATGGTTCCATTATCTACTGTACTTTTGTGGAGAAGATTTCTAAAAGTATAGTTGACAAACGGGCACCATTTACAAAATATTTTGGCAAAGGGAAGCATTTTGAATGCTTCATAGTAAATACATGACATTATTTAAACATTCAGAGTAAGGGATTTGATCAGAACAGCCTAAAATTTCTTGAACAGTATGTACAGATCTGCCATAGTTCAGAAGAGGCCCCCAATTAATTGAGTATCAGCGAATTTAATTTGTCCTTTGGCTGTCTTTAATGGCTCCCAGTTAAGTAATATGTGGTTCTCGTAAGTATATGTTACGTATATGATGGGTCTTTAGGGAAAGGTGACATTACTAAGGAATGTGAATGTCATTTCTTTATTTCTAGGTCTTACAACCTTGCTCTTTATTTATGGAAAAATGTACCTGGGCTTCTGGGAAACAAAATATCAACATTACAGTCAAAGAATGTATAATTAAGGTTAGTGCCTACTGTATTCTTTGGCTGAAAATAAATTCTTCTTTTTCTAGCAGTTTTATACATTTCCAGTTATGTGAGATAGTATTTTCCCCCCAGGACATTTAACAGGTTTATGTATCTTTTGATGTGGCTTTCATAATAGGTAATTAAATAGTGTGGGATTAAAATTTTCTCTGTGTGATGCAAATATTTGTTTTCATTTGAACACACACACACACACACACATATATGAACAGAATAGTTTTCCTCTGTTGTATTCGTGTGTTCATGTGTATCAGGGAGGGCAGGTTGGGGGCAAGTAGAGATGGGAGAAGAGGAGAAAAGGAGAAATGATGGAAAGATGAGATTGCTATTAGCTTATTTTCATAAGTTACCGTAGCTTTTATCTGAAATGTAATATGACTGAATTTAATAACGATGTGACAAATGTTTTATTAGACTTACAAAATATTTGTAAAAATGAAATGGCATATGGTAGAAATAAATTAGTGGGATTTACTTGTTCAACAAAAGAAGTAGTAGTCATGGGGGAGTGGTAAAAGCTCTTGAATTTGCATGCACTTCCTCTGAGGCAACAGTTTAGGTGGTGGAGGGATTTTCCTCCCACTTATTTGCATATAAATTTATTTATCCATCAAACAAACATTTTTGAGTTAGTTCTCTTACTACGAAGAAAAAAAATGTCCTGTACAAGGCATTGGGAGATACGTAGTTCTTGCTTTTAAGGAACTTTAGTAATGGTATGAGAGGAAGAAGTAAACCAGCGATTGCAGTTTTAATGCTTGGAGCATTCAGAAATTAAATACACAAGGACCACAGAGAAGGGCCTCTAGTTTAGAGCAGACATCAGAAGAAACTTTCTGGAGGAGAGGCTGCTTGACTGGAATTTTGAAAGTGCAGTTGTTAGTTGAAGGAGGAAGGGGAAGAGGCTACTCAGACAGAGCCAAGAATACATATTTATATAAGGAGAGAGAAAAATGAAAAATTCTTTAAGGACCTTTAGAGGGTTAGCTACATGTATGCCTGGAGAGAATGGTGTAGTGCGATTATGGCACCTGAGACACTAGTTATAGGTGACATGAATAAAGGAAACAGAAGGACCTAGCTGAAAAGGAGCTCCTGGAAGCAGTAGATGCTAGATGTCTCTTGCGTGATGAAATCTTCATCCCTCTGTGATGTGTTCATTACACTGGGGTTGTGAAGAGTGAAGGAATCTATGTAAGTTAGTCCAGTGTTTCTGGATTTGGGGGAACTTGGGTAACTGACTAAATGGAGGCATCGGGCCACACACAGCTTTGTGCATTAAGATAAGAGAATTTCCATTTTTTCCTGAAATTTGTGGGGAGCTGTTGAAGATTTTAAGCGGAGCCACACTTTGCCCACATGTGGGTTTTGGGAGGATGGTGTTGCTGTCAGGATCGAGGTAAGGGGAGGGGCTGTTGAGTGGGCATGAGAAAATACCATCAGTGCGAGCTACCGCACGGTGACAGGTGAGCAGAGAGCAGATTCCCGATGAAGCCAGTGGACACATGCCTTCGTGTACTTTCTCTGTTTCTTTGCTTTCCTTAGTCATGAATTAAGTATATTTACGTTTTTAGTTAGTCGCTTTTAAACTTATCTGGGCAGAATTTATTCTTGAATTTCTGTTTTAAAAGATCTCCCCCATAATACTTAATACTGTGATGACAATCATGGCTGCGATGTCTCCAAAACCAATAGAAGAGGAATCCAAAAATACAGCTAAGGAAATGACAAATATCTGGGACATCGTATCGATTGATGATTATAATGCCTGGTTTCTTGGTGTTGACACGGCATCAGAAATAACGGAGAACTTCAAAGACACAGAATGTTCATTGGCAGAGGAAAACTGTGCGGTGGTGGTGGAATCAGTTCAAGTTACTTTGGAATGTGGCCTAGGACATCGGACTGTCCCTTTACTGTTGGCTGAGTCTAAGTTTTCAGGCATTATTAAGAATTGGACTTCCCTCATGGCTGCCACTGCTGACATGACACTGGAGGTATGTTCACGTCATTTAGTACCTCAGAGCCAACCTCTCTAAAGCGGAGAGTTCAGCTCATGAGCCTAGTTTGTCCATGGCCATAGCAAGTATGGATGTGTGAAAAGGCAAGACGCTTGACGTTTGGTGTATTGTTGGGATAGTATTGTTTATTGGGTAATTAAATTTTAAAGATTATTTTGAGAAGTAAGGTAGGGCAGTAAAAGAAAATGAATGTTCTTTGTGCACGCGTGTATGTTTCTCTGTCTTTAAGTGGGATTTTAAAATGTCAATAGCTTAGCTAGCTGTTTACATCATTATGCAGTGACTAAAGATTTTTCTTTCCTACTGATAATAGGAATACCTTGTAGTTAATTAAAGTATTCTCTTCTATTTCTGCGCCTTTCCAGGTTCACTATTACAATGAGACCCATGCTGCCTGGGAGCCCCTGATTGAGAGGGTAGAGGGAAAAAGACAATGGAATTTAAGGCTTGATGTAAGGCAACTATAAAATGTCTTTTTGTAGAACAACATTAAACATATTTATGAGTAGTTTTCAGTTTGTTGCTTGCCACAATGTGCTTCAGGATCCCTGAGGTACTTTTAGGGCGACGTGAGGTCAAAACTCTTTGTCATCATATTCAGACATTCATTGTTATCCTGCTTATGAGTACAGAATGGAGTTGTCCAGAGACTACTTGAGTGTGATGTTGCCGTAGGTTAAATGCAGATATAGGAATCACCTTTTTAAAGCCAGATACAAAGGCTTTTGTAAATGCCTCTTCTCACTACTTTAAAAGAAAGAGTATAGTTTTATTTTATTAACATATTATTTATGTTAAAGTGTAATTGTTATTTTAAATGCATATTCAAATTTTAATGCAGTAAGCACTAAAATATTTTGTGTGTGTGTATATATATATGAAGTTATTTGGTATCCTCAGTAATTTTTAAGAAAATAAAGGGGTTCCCTAGACGGAAAAATGTGAGAATCTATGTTTTAGTTCATTAACTCTCTTCATAGTATACTTCTTGAGAGCAGTTTTCAGTTCTAGATAAGGAAGCACATATTTCTAGGTTACGAGCAACATGGATTATACTGTTAACCAATCGTCACCGGTACTTCTCTGGCTGTGTGGCTGAGAAGCCAGGCACAGAAGTTGACTCAGCAGATTTTTATTTTAGAGATGTGAAGTCACTTAGCCTGTGCCCCCATTTTCATTTCAATGAAGTAGAAGCAGTATTTCTGAGATAGGGAAGCTGGCAAAGAGTGTTTTAGAAGGCTTTTGCAAATGCTTTTAGATTTAGAACAAAAGCTCTGAGAGAAGCTGATGGCTAGTGTTTGAAAGCTTCCTATCCTATTACTTATAAGTGTGACTGGTAAATAGTAAAGGGAGAGAAACTTATTTCCATATGGCACCAAAAGTGAGGGTTATTTAGGCTTCAGTGTCACCTTAGAGTACTCACCAATTCATAATCACCAATTAGACAGCCCTGGATAAATGTCTTCCTCTGAGGAACGTACACGAGACAAATATCACTGACTCTGAGAAAATAGTTTGGTGCTTACATGGGATTATTCGAAACACTTCCCCATGAATGGAGTATACACTGAAAGAATTAGGAATGCCGACCTGTGCAAAAACCAAATAAAACAAAGCCCTTTGCTACCAATAAGAACGTCTTTGAAGGCTAGACTTTTGAGGAGTCAGTGTCAGGTGGCCAATTTAGATCAGGAGAATTTAACTCTGTGAGAATATTTCAATTTTATTAATTAGCTAGTAATCTTAAGTATATTGTTTATATAACATATATATATAATTTATTTATCTTTATATAGGTGAAGAAGAGCCCAGTTCAGGATAAAAATTTCATGCCAGGAGACGACTTTATATATCTTCCTGATCCACAAATGGCTATTTATATTTCTTCAGGAGATACAATGAATATAACCATATCCAAAAGTTCCCTCAACGTCTTCAATAATTTAGCAAAAGTATGTTTGGTACTTGCTTGGAATAATATGTCAAGTGTAATTTTAAAAGGAAACACATGGGTTTTGTGTTTGCCACTAAAACTGCCTTGGAAAGTATCTAGTCCTGGTCTCATCTTTGCGAACAAGCAGATTTACAAAACTATTGTGTTGTGTTCCCTTTCAGGGCTTTTCAGAGGGCACCGCTGCTACTTTTGACTACTCCTTAAAAGACCGGGCTCCTTTTAAAGTAATCAACGCTCTGGGCATCCCCATCAAGGTGCAGGCCAACCGAAATCTCCGAGTCCTGGGCTCCCCTGAGAAACGTGATATCTATGATGTTGATATCTGTCAGAGTTTGGAATTGGAATATACCAGCCCGGAACCTTTACGGCAAGGGAAGTTCTCAGTACTGAGCCGCCAACAAAGCTCCTTTTTCACACTCACCTTTGGTATGCTGTATTTATTTGATTTAAAGAGTATCTTTGGAATTGTTGGTGTGGGCTTATTTTTGCTAGATTAACCCTAGAAAAAATAGTTTGCTATGGATATCTGGGTGGAAGAATTTCTAAAGTCTTGAAACAGTTGCTAAGCTCATTTTCTTTTTAAGCTTGCGATGCTTTAAGTTGATTAGTTTGGTTGGGTGGCTAACTGAGAGGTCAGCAGTTCAAAACCAGTAGCTGCTCTGTGGGAGAAAGGTAAGGCTTTCTACTCCTATAGAGAGTTACAGTCTCTAAGCCCACAGGGAAGTTCCGTCAGGCCCTATAGAGTCTGAACTGACTGGATAGCACTGAGTTTTGTGGGTTTTAAAGAAACTACAGTGAGCCTTGATGGTGTGGAGAGGTACGTGTTGGGCTGCTGTAATGCAGGGCCAGCAGATGAAACCCACCAGGTGAAGCTTTCCTGCCCCATTAAGGTTTGCAGTTTGGGACATCCTATCAAAGGTACTCTGAGTTTAGGATGGACTCAGTGGAAGTGAGTTTGGGTTTGGGGGGGTTAGGTTATTTTGATGACCTTAAGAAAAACTGTTTTAAGGGTCAAAAATTGTGTAATAACAATTGGTTTTCTTTTTCACTTTCTGTATCTTAAAAGGGGAGCCCTGGTGGCTTAGGGGGTTATGCATTGGGCTGCTAACAACAAGGTCAGCAGTTCAAAACCCACCAGCTAGTCTGTAGGAGAAAGATGAGGCTGTCTGCTCTCATGAAGGTTTACAGTCTCAGGTGGTTCTAGGGTAGTTTTACTCTGTCCTGTAGCCTCGCCAGGAGTGAGATCAGCCCAGTAGCAGTGGTTTGGCTAGGTGTCTTAGAACATTTTGAATAGTGATTATTTCTAGTCATGAAGAGAATACTACTATTTTGAGTTTTCAGTGATTAATTCCACCAAAGAGAAATCTAGTAAATTAATTTTTGGAATTCTTCTTACTTATGCTTCACCTCAGTACCTCGTGGCTACTCAGAAGTTGCAAACATCCCTGTTGTCAGGCCTGCCCGGCGACTGTACAATGTGAGAAATCCCACGGCCAGTTGGACTGACTCCGTGCTAGTGCAGATTGATGCAACTGAAGGAGATAAAGTAATCACCCTTCGCTCTCCCCTCCAGGTAAAGGCCTGCCTGCCCCTTTGAGCATGCAAAGCAATCATTCATATACTAGCTGAATTTTATGGGGAACAGTAAAACTTTATCAAGCCAATACTGATCATTGGGAAATCAATTATAATGGACTGAAATGGTTGTTATCTCCTAGCCAGCTTGCTTCTGTAATAATCTTTCCTTTAAATATTGGGTAAACTGATGTTATTAATTTAAAGCCCATTTTTGTTGTCTCCTGGGTTTAAAATAATGAAGCTTTAATGTATATTCCTTTAAAGATTCAGAAAGTAAGCATACTGTATTTATGGTTGGTGATGGAGTAGGGTAATGTAGCTATTCTTTTCCACCTAGGGTTGTACTTTTTAAGTATGGGTGAAAGAATTTTCATACACATTTAAAAAGAACATGTAGCATTGTAATATGTATAAATATTGTTCCCTACTTTTAAGACTTTGTCCACTTCTCTTCTGTGCATTATTACATGCTTCAGTTAGCTGAAGACCATTCCCTGCTGTGTTAACATTGTTGGACATGGAAGAAAAGATTCACAACGTTGGCTGCATTCATCTCTCATTTGCCGTCAGCCCCCAAAGATACATGGTAGTCAAGAAAAGAGAGGCTTACTACCTTTCATCATATATATATATATTTTTTTGGTTTCCTTGACTACACGGTCATGGAGAGAAGATAGTAGAGAAAGTATTCTGACTGAAAAGTATTCTGACCGAAACCTAGCTTATATTTGAAATATAGATAGCATTTTCATATACAGGGCATGTGAATGTACTAATAATTTTCACCTCTCACGTTACATAAGCATTAACATATGTACTCACACTCACCACCATCAAATCTATGCCAATGTATGGTGACCCTATAGACCAGAGTACAACTGTCGCTATGAGTTTCAGAGACGGTTGCTCTTTATGGGAGTAAAAAGCCTTTTCGTTCTCATGCAGAGTGGCTGGTGGTGGTTTTGAACTACTGGCCTTGCAGTTAGTAGCCCAATTCATAACCATTATGCCATCAGGCCTCCTCTTAACATATATCACATTTATATATCCTAAAAATATTCACTTGCCAATCAACATATCTTTTAATACTGGGTCTTTATAGATTTAAAAGTATTTGTATACAACTCACATAGTTTTTCTTTTGATCTCTTAACAGTTTCTATGTCTTTTTTGTCCCAACAGATTAAAAACCATTTCTCTATTGCATTCATCATCTATAAGTTTGTTAAGAATGTTAAGCTCCTGGAGCGAATTGGAGTAGCAAGACCTGAAGAGGAATTCCATGTTCCATTAGACTCCTACAGGTAGACGCCACCTCGACTAGACTAAGCTTTGAACAGCCCTGATGTATGTGCATGCACACACATTTATACTCTACTCTGTGCTTTAGAGATCTGTATCCTGGGGGTGTCAAAACCATTTTTAAGACAGTTGATTTTTTTTAAATGGGGAAATGCATGTACATTACTGTTGTAAACTTATGTCAAATTATGTAAAGTTCTCTTTCTCTCTCTTTTTTTTTTGCATCCTCAACAGACTCAAATCATGTCCCAACCCCTCTCCTTTTTTCTTTTGTATTTTAACAGATTTATTGACAATAGAATTCATGTGCCATAAAATAAAGTGGTTCAAATAGACTAAAAGAGTTGTGTGATCGCTATCACAATCTTGTACTTGTTATTATTAGTGCCTCTTTATTCACCAACCTCCTCGCTAGAACCCTAAGAAACTGTTAATTTAGCTACTGTCTCCACAGACTGACTTACCTTGAATTTCATATAAAGAAAAATATAATATGTTAAAATTTAACCTAATTACTGTCGGCAATAATCCACGTTTCAATATACTTTGAGAACAAGACTGTTCACATCCCTGGTCTGAGGAAGCTCAACGGAGGTTTACTTTTCCTGGGGAGTCTTTCACTGTCATCCACAGCCTTTTGCAAACCAGGCGCTCAGAATTTAAGTTCTAATACAATTCCCTTCTGTAATCTTGGATTGTATTATTTACAGTCCTTAGCTCTCACAGGCTTATGCGCCCTCTGTATGGACTTAGCTGACACCTCATTTAGATGGCTCATTGTTTTAAGACAAGCCTCTCATTGTATATTGATGCTTCAGAATTTTTAAATGTCTATTTTTGCTAGATGGCCTTTGTATTTGAAACTATTTTTTTAAAGTTATCATTGTGTACAAGCACTTTCTTTTTTACCCCTGGAAATTTACTCCATTTATTAGCTATGTGACCTTGGGCAAACTTTTAACCTTTCTCAGCTTGCGTTTCTTCCTCTGTGAAAATAGGAATAATAAAGCTACCTTGTAGAGTCTTATTTAAGTAGATTTTTGTTTGTTACTTTTTGTTTTTTCTTAAAATTGTCCTCTCTTTCCGTAGATGTCAGTTGTTTATTCAGCCAGCTGGACTCTTAGGGCATCAGTACAACACATCCACCACCTACATTTCCTGGAAGGAGGAACTGCACCGAAGCAGCGAAATCAGGTGCATGCTGCAGTGTCCATCAACAGAAGCGAACTTCCTACCTCTCATAGTGAATACGGCTGCTGTGCCTGATGAATTAAGCTATATTTGTACACATGGGGAAGACTGGGATCCAGCATACATTATCCATCTTTACCCTCCTCTTACTTTGCGTAATCTTCTCCCATATTCTCTAAGATATTTACTAGAGGTATGTCTCATGTTTGTCTGACTTTTATTGTTGCTCTGAGTAGACTCTGTTTGTGTTTCTGGGTATTTTGGTTGAGGTCGGTGTTTCATATAGTTTGTATGATGTTAATAATAGCTGGTGCTGCATGCACCATGTTTGAGGCCTGGGTATTCTACATGTAGTACTTCATTGACTCCTCACTGAGGTGGATATTACTATTAGACCTACTTTACAGACACAGAACCCTAACCAGAATGGGCTAAGTGATTACTTGCCTGATGTCCCGTGGCCAGTAAAGGTCGAACAGGAACTTGTTTGCAGTGTGAATCCTTGCTCCCTAACACACTACTGTATCGGGCATAAATTAAGATGCATAATCATTTTCTAATATTATTTGTAAAGCTGTAGTGATGTGGTGGGTTACACATCCGGTTGTGAACCATAAGGTCAGCAGTTCAAAACCACCAGCTGCTCCATGAGAGAAGGTTTAGGTTTTCTACCTTCACATGGAGATTCGCAGCCGTAGGACCTACTGAAGCAGCCCCACTCTGCCCTCATAGGGCACCGTGAGGCAGAACCGACTCGTTAGCAATCAGCGTCTTTTTTTTTTTGTAAGCAAAATTATGTTAACCAAAAGGATAAGGAAAACAAAAATCAGGTGAGAAAATATTTCAGCATAATTTAGAAACCATGTATTTTAAACTTAATATTATGATTATTTAGTCTAAGACTATTGAAAATAAAAGCAATTCCTGTGTATCTCAGAAAGTTAAAAAATACAGTATAGAATATATAGCATATTTATAGTAACAGGGCATGGTAAATATTTTGTAGTTTCTATATACCATAAGATTGTAAAGTCCCAAAGTCTGCAAGAGTGTGTAGAACCTATTTTTTATTTGATAATGAACCATCCCGGTGTTGAGACAAAAATTAATGAAATGGCTGAAATTTGTATTTGTACAAGAGCACCTTTAAAAAAAGAAGCCTGCTTTATTATTTTGTCTATCATACATCTGAAAACTAATATTTATTTATGTAGCTTGTCAGAATAGTTTGACATGACTTTCCGACATCCCACTCATGTGGAAACCTATAGACACGGCATGTTGCTCGATGACGAAGCTGCAGCCCAGGCAGTTAAGTGCCCATGTCATGGCATGACAACAGCCAAGGGTTCTGAGTCCAGCCTTTGAGTCTTGATTTGGATCGTATTTCCTTTCAGTCTTAGTGTCAGCATTAGCCTGCTCCTGACGGAGACTCCTGTCCGAGGCTGTGCGACAATGTCTCTCTCAGTTGGTCATAACTATTAGGCACTTGTAACATGTCGGCATGGCACTTTGATGTGTACTTGGCAGGCTACATGCATCTGTGTAAAATATGGATTTTGCTCTTCAGGGTTTTAAAAAGAAATCACTAAATAGATTCAATGTTTGTTTCCAGGGGACAGCAGAAACCTACGAGCTCGCAGAAGGCAATGCTGCTGATGTTCTGCATTCGAGAATCCGTGGAGAGATACTGGAATTGGTCTTGATGAAGTACCAGGGCAAGAACTGGACCGGGCATTTCCGCATCAGTGGTGCACTCCCTGAGTTCTTCCTGGTGTGCTTCACCTCTGACTCTGCAGAAGTGATGACGCTTGACTTGTCAGTGCATGTCAGGCGCACCAGGAGCCGGATGGTGCTGTCCGTCTTTAGTCCCTATTGGCTCATCAATAAGACCTCCCGGGTTCTCCAGTATCGTGCAGAAGACATTCATGTCAAGCATCCAGCGGACTTCAGGGATATTGTTTTGTTCTCATTCAAGAAGAAGAACATTTTTAGGAAAAATAAGGTGTGCTTTTTTTCATGTAACAAGTTAAAATAGATAAATTCCTTATCGGGGACTGTGAGGCCATTGCCTTTCTTGACACCATGTTTACCTATTTGCAGTGTGCCATTGGTGTGGATTTGGCTTAAGGGGATTGTAAGTAATTCACAGTTCAGTGACGTGTTTGGAACTAACAGGTTTCCTGAGCTTGAGACCCTGTTCTCTAGTGGCCCAAGAATTACTCTTGCTCTGAAGTGGTATCAAAGAGAAGGCCAGCAGGTGCAACAGTTAGTGCTTGGCTAGTTACTGAATGTTTGGTGGTTGGAACTCACGCAGGAGCTCTTTGGGAAAGAGACTTGGTGATTTGTTTCCATAAAGATTAAAAAAACAAAATATTTATTTATAAAGTATTGCAGATGAACATTGGTCCTCCACTCAAGTACTCCCTCAATGAAAGAACAATTTGTTCTTCTAACACGGCACCTTGTGATGTTCACCTTCCCTGACATGATCACTGAAGACAAAATGGGTGCATAGCAAATGTAGGGAAGAAGGCTGATGGTGCCCGGATATCAAAAGATATAATATCTGGGGTCTTAAAGGCTTTAAGATAAACAAGTGGCCATCTAGCTGGCAAGCACCAAAGTCCACATGGAAGAACCACACCAGCCTGTGTGGTCATGAAGTGTCGATGGGATCAGGTATCAGGCATCAAAGACACAAAACAAAACAAAACAAACAAACCAACAAACAAAAGTCATATCAATGGGAATGAGGGAGAGGGCAGAGTGGAGACCCAAAGCCCATCAGTAGTCAATTGGACACCCCTGTCAGAAGGGCCACAAGGAGAATAAGAGCCAGTCAGTATGCAGTGTAGCACTGAAGAAACACACAACCTTCCTTTAGTTCTTTAATGCTTCCTCCCCCACCTCACTACCATGAGCCCAATTCTATCTTTCAAGTCTGGCTGGACCAGAACATGTATACTGCTGCAGATAATAGCTCGCAACACAGGGAATCCAGAACAGAGAAACCCCTCAGGACCAATAAAGGGAGTAACAATACTAGGAGGGTAAGATTGGGTGGGGGGGAGTAAGGGGAACCAATCACATGATCAATGTATGGCCCCCCTCCCAGGGGGACGGACAGCAGAAAAGTGGGTGAAATGAGAGTGATCAGTGTACGACATGAAAAAGAAATTTTATAAATTATCAAGGGGACATGGGGTTGGGGGTAAAAATGAGGAGCTGATGTCAGGGGCTCAAGTAGAAAGAAAATGTTTTGAAAAAAAACGACCACATGTACAGATGCATTTGACACAGTGGATATATGTATGGACTGCTATGAGAGCTGTAAGAGCCCCCAATTTAAAAAAAATCAAAATGAAATACTCAGCTTTCCTGTCCTCAAGTCAATTGGTGCAATAGGTTACGAACTGTGATGCTCACCCTAAGGCCAGCAGTCAGATACGCATTAGGAGAGAAGTCTGATTCTTAGGCCTGGCCCTATTTTTCTCGTCCCGCCCCTCTTAGCTCCCGCACTCCCTATTTTGGTATTCATATCCACCGCAGAGGGTTCACATCGAGGCTGGGCCCTCGACCTGGAACACCTCTTCTTCCATGCTTTCTTTCTTCTTGACTTCTTTACTGTTCTTGGTGATCTGTTGTCCATTTTGTGGTATTCCCTGCAGACCGGGCACGAGTACAGGTTTTATTGAAGGACTGAAGAGGGACTAGGTGTCCCACATCTAGCAAATTCCCAGATGATGCTGGTGTTGTTGGTCTTGGGAACATACTTTGAGAACCATTCAGAGTGCTGATTAACATTAGGTGTAATTATCAGTTAATGTGTCAGACCTCTTGTTGTCCTGAGGTTTTCTGTAATCTGAGTGGATAATGGTGAGGTTAACAGGGGTACAGTAAGTCTCTTTAATACCAAGTCCTCTGAATCACATAGTCAGAAGTAAAGTTTTCACCCTGTAACCTTCATTGCATTTTGTATCTTGGGTATGGTTCTTGTATTGAGACTTGCATCATAATTATCTTTATACTTTCCTATCTTTCTGTGGAGGGAGACTCACTGTTTCCAGGTGCAAACTGTGTCCCCTTGCCTTCTCTTCTGCCTTTCACCGTGATGTGTTTTATTTAACATTTGCTAAATAATGTTAATTAAATACATAAATGCTGGACGTGCTGAAACATTCGTCTTCTCAGTAAGTCATAACCTGACATTGGAGAATTACGTGTCGCATTCTGGTCCTTTATAAAACAGTGCGCATTCACCGTGCTCATTGCGTGGATTAAGGAGAGAGCCAGAGCCCTGCTATCATTGCATTACCTCTTAGAGTTCTAGTTTTGGGGGATCTGCTACCTATTTTCAGAATGATTTTGATTATCATCTTCAGTATTCTGTCTATGATGCTAAGGAGATTTCTCAGTGGTCTAGCAACTTTCTATGAACTAACCTTAATATAGTGCTATATATTCTCTGATATAGGTGCAGTTAAAGATTTCTACTAGTGACTGGTCCAGTAGCTTCTCATTGGATACTGTGGGAAGTTATGGGTGTGTGAAATGTCCTGCTGGTAATACGGAATACCTGGTAAGGCTCTTTTTGCTTATTTACCGTCGACCCCATTTCTGTTTTCCATGGGTGCCTGACCTCTTGTTGTCTTCAAAGTGACTCCTAAGGGGTACAGAAATTTGAACCCAAAGTACTGTGTTATGGAGTCTTATCTTTATGTATTTCTATAGTCACCAGTGCCAAAGCAAACCTTGAATTTATGAAGGTTCATCAAATTTTAGACAGTGAGTTGAATCAATATGAGTAAGTTAGCAAGTATTCCGAGTACCATATACACTCGTGTATAAGCCGAGTTTTTTAGCATATTTTTCATGCAGTTTTTGTGGTACAATTAGGTGCCTTGGTTGATATTCAGGTCGGCTTATACTCGAGTATATACTGTATACTAGAATCCTTCCATTCCAAATGTTTTTTCCATTAGTTAAGTGATGGATTGATATTTCTTGATTTGATTTCTGGTGGAGCCAAACATTAAAGAACTAAGCTCAATAATGGAGCATGGGTTATAATAGTTCCTTTATTTAAAAATTATTATTTTTAAAAATATCAAGACGTTTGAGTTTATACTTCAAATTAGCTGAGTGAACTGTAGAAAATGATACACTTGTTCACTTCCTTTCTACAGGTTGGTGTTAGCATCAAAATGAGCAGTTTCAATCTTTCTCGAATAGTTACTCTGACTCCTTTTTGTACCATTGCAAACAAGTCAGCATTAGAACTAGAAGTTGGTGAAATTGCACCTGACGGCTCAATACCAACTAAAAAATGGAACTATATCTCCGCTTCTGAGGTATCATTTTCGTATAATATAAGTGGTCCCTGGTGTCTTTGATGTGAGTTTGATAACAGTAGTCTTTTTTAAAATTCAGAAATAGACTTTTCCCAGTCTAGGACTGGGACATTTTGCACTACATTCGTAACAAAAGCTTATGTGCTGTTTTATGGAATTCAGAGCACTTTCACATAGGTGGTTTCCTTTTGAGCTTCACAGTTCTTTAAGCTTACCCTGGTTTTGCAGATCAGAAAATTGAGGCTCAAGGATAGATCTGATTTGCTTATGATCAAAGCACTAGGAAGGTCGTGTCAGGACCTGAAGCTAGGCTGTGGGGGTCACACCTGTGCTTGCCTTTGTCTCTGGCTTATCTCTCACTCAGTGAGAGGATGTGTGGTAGATTCATGAATCGAAATGAGACATGCGTAAACGCATATGTTACTAAGATTATAGTATCTAAATATTCAAGACATTTGAACCGTCTTTAACCAAATGACTCTCTTGTTTCTCATAATGTAATTATCCCTTAAGTACATATATGCTGAGATAGCAGCACTCTTCTGATGGTTTCTCAAGATTTCATAAGCAGTTATGTTTTCGTCAATAATCTTAACCATGGACATAGGATGTGAAGTGACGCTTTTAGGAAGCTTAGTAATAATTGCATCAGCACTAGATTTAGAATTACAGACTTTACTTAGCCAGTGTCCTATTTATGCCTCAATGATTTTTTTTGTTTTGTTTTTAATCTATCTTTCCAGTGTCTTCCGTTTTGGCCTGAAAATTTGTCAGGGAAACTATGTGTGAGAGTGGTGGGCTGTGAAGGATCTTCCAAACCATTCTTTTATAACCGGCAGGATAATGGCACTTTATTGAGTTTAGAAGACTTGGTAAGCTTTGATATTTTAAAACTAAACATCTTTTATTTTTAAAATTTATTTTGAAGCATCATATTAAACCATGCTTTCAAATGTACTGGGTGAAGCTTCAAAGTGTTTGTGGGAAAATGGAATTACTGGAATTTTTCCACGAGCTATTGGAATCCTCTTCAGATATTTGGAAACATCAGAAGGAGTTTGCTTTCAGTAAAAACTTAACAAAGCTTATGTATCTGCTGATGTAAAGTTCACATTTAAGTTAAACCAGTATCTCAAACAGCTTTTTTGTTTGTTTCTGCAATAGAATGGGGGCATCTTGGTGGATGTCAACACTGCTGAACACTCAACAGTCATAACCTTCTCTGATTACCATGAGGGGTCTGCACCTGCCCTAATAATAAACCACACACCTTGGGATGTCCTCACATATAAACAGAGGTATGGAAGAAAAGGGTGGCTGGCCCCAGTCTGTGTGTTTGCTGGCCTGCAGCCCGACCTAGGCAGCGCTTGGGGTAGATGTTTGATGAAGGCCTTTTCAGATTTTAGAAGGTATAAAATGGGGCACATGCTGGTGTCTCTCTTGTACCTACCAGACGATTGCAAGGCCAATGTATGAACATTCTCATCCAATGGGATAAGTAAAGGTGACTATGGTCTCACATTAGTTCAGACACGATCAAATGGTTTTGGGCACCACAAGAGCTTCTAGGGCTTTTTACGTTTCAGAGCACAGGGAAGAGACTGTGGACTTCTTTCAGCTGTACCTGAACTTTTCTTTCCCTATCAATCAGTATGCAGTTGTTTTTTTGGTTAGAGAAAGTATCTTATTTTGAAATAAAAAAACAAACGGGGAAAACACCCAGCGGGCTGTATAAATGTCCTTGGCGGGCCGCATGTGGCCCACAGGCCGTATTTGAGGACGCCTGCTGTAAACCTTTCAGGTGGTGAGCTGCTTCCTCTTTCTGCTGCAGAGCAGCTGGTGAATGGAAAACGCCAGCCTTTCAGTGAGTAGCTTGATGCTTAACTTAACCTGTGCCACTTGGGGTTACGAACCCTTATTTTATGAACCAGTATTTCTTTCTTTTAAAGTTTTGTTAATCAGTTTTAACATTTCTTGGGACTTTTGTTAAGGTGCACATTCTGATCTTTGTGATTTCAGCATTCTCCTGGGTAGTCTGGTCCACATGCCACACTCAATAGCGGCAGTATGGAGTAATGTTTACTTTGGTTGAGACACATACTATTTCTTATGTATTTTATTGGACTACAAAGCTTATTACATTTAATACTGAGTAGTTTTTCTGCTTCTAAAGACACGGATGTCTTGCTCTTTCTGAAAGTGATTGCTGATACACTGATTTGCTTACACTAGTGAATGATGCTGCCGGGCTGATCCTGCGCGGGGGAGTCAAAGCATACTTTAGGAGGGTGGTATTCGCTTCCCTCAAGCTTCAAGCCCATTCACTGAATAGGAAGTTTAAGGCACTTATTTTTAAGCAGAGTTGTGTGTGTTATTAATTAGGACTGTTTCACTCCTCTTTTCAATAAACGGGAGAGCTGGGTTTTTCAAGGACCCAACATTAATTTTTTGTCCATGGGCTGTTTTTCAGTGGATCCCGGGATGAAATGGTACTGCTGCCCAAGCAAGTCAGGCTTTTTGCCTGGGCAGACCCTACTGGCACCAGAAAGCTGTCCTGGAGATATGCGGCTAATGTCGGGGAGCATGCTCTTCTGAAGGTAACATTGGAAGTGATGGCTTGGTGTGAGTAGCCTGGTGGTGAGGGACGTAGATAAGAGAACTGAATAAAAAAATTAATTGGAAATATTTTCAGAACAAGTAATTTTTAGACTTGAGGTTGCAAAGAACTCATATCAATATTTTATAGCACTCTAAGTGATGTATGTTTAATTTTAAAAAATCCATTCCATCTTGCCCAAATAAAGACCAGTAAAATACCATCTTTTTTAAGAGGAAGGCATTTTAAGGTTAAATGAAAATTTAATTTCAATGTATGTCTGTCATGCTTGACTGTGACAATTTTTTTCAGGCATGTTTTCATAAGCAGTGCTATATGCTTTTTAAAAAAATTAAATAAATTTGTGCAAGTGACTCCATCAGAAGTTTTTCAAAATAGTTTTAGTGGCATATATTACACATAATCATAAAATTTAATAGTTTATGGATATTGAGAGTTATGTAATCATCAACACAATCAATTTCAGAATATTTTCTTCTTTCTTGTATGCATTGTTAGCTCCCCACTTCCCCCAGCCTCCCCTGGAAATTACTTATCTAGTTACTCTCTTCCATAGATTTGCCTATCCTGGATTTTATTTACATAAAATCATACAAAATACTGACAAGCAAACACAACCCCCAACAACAATGACAAAACAAAACAGAAAAACCTCAGTTGGAAAAGCAGAAAATATTAAAAACTGAAACAATGTTTCATTGGGTCAAAAGGGTGATCAAATGATGGCACATTTTAACCTAACTACATCAGCCATAATCACTTTGCAGTGTGTTCTGATAGCAAGGATATTCACATTCCTGGTCTGTGGTCAGAGGGTATTCACCAGAGGCTCAGTCCATCCGTGCAGTTTGCAAATAGATGTGGGGCTTCCACTGTTACCCATAGCCTTCTGCTGACCAAGTGTTCAGAATTTCAACTCTGCTACCATTGGCTCCTTTGAATTTGGATTATATTATATATCCACCCCTTGGGTCACACAGGCTGATGTGCTTCTTCCGTATAGACTTGGGTGACACCTCACTTTGATGGCTGCTTGTTTGAAGACAAGCATTTAGGATCCCGGATACTATTTTTCTGAGATCCGGGCACCTTTTTTTTTCCTTCACCACACTTTGGTATTGCATCCATATCTTCAGTGATCTCGTCTTGACAATGAGTATGGGGTAAGACCATGTATGTCATAACAACTAATTTTTCTTAGATTTAGGGCTATAATTCAGTGCAAGCTTAAAATCCATTAATCTTTCTATGGCTTATATATGTCTTTGGTTTACTTTAGTGACATCATTGTCATTTTATGATAGAGAACATTATAAATCTTTATAAATCATCCCCAGGGAGCATAAAGTAGTTATATTGCCACAACAGAAATTTGTTGTAATAATTATTGAAGCAATATGTAGGTTATCTATTTTTTATGATATTGCTTAACTCAGACTTTGACAGAGCAGAAGAATTCCTCTGCCACAAACTGATCCTGCATTAGTTATAGATGGAATATCTGTAGGAATATATTTCTAATGGGAAAATTCAGATTGTTTCACATTCCATTTTTTGATGACCACAATTATTTGAAAGGCTTTTTTGACTTTTGCTTTAAAATAGTAATTGGACAATAGTGCCTGGCTGTTCTTTCAATAATTTGCTCTGAAATGCAGAGAAGAGATAAAAACCTTATCATACCTTGGGAAATGAGACTGATAGTTCCTTTATTGTGAACATCTTGGTGTGATTTGCAGCATGACGAGTTGGAGCTCTGTTGGCTCAGCAACCACAATTCCCAGAATGCAGCATTTGGACACTAGAGCACATGTGGCAGTGACGTAGGGGGGGGGGGGCATCAGGGCCTGTGTAGAGAGGCAGACTCACAGAGAGTCCTGGCAAGAATACATGCGGGGGGGCTGTCAGTTTATGGTTTCTCCTATTTTGCGTTAGAGATCCAAGAAGTAGGATAAGTAGATAATTCCACTCATTCAGACTGTAGTATATCAGACACTGCCTACTAGATAATGAAAACTGAACAGAAAGCCAGGAAATTACTCATTTTCTTGACCACACAGTTGTTTGTGGAAGGGCATTTTACCCAGGAGCAAGTGGAAATGGAGAGAGTTCAAAGGAAATCCATGCATTATTGTAAGACCCTCAGTCTGAACTCACATATGAGTGAATAGAAAAAACATGGGGTTCATGAAACAGAATACTTGACAAGAAAAATGGAGCATTATCTTGTACATTCAGAGGACAATCAGACCTCTGAAAATCCTTGAATACTGCAGTCAGAAGGAAATACTCACAATGCATTTCTGGCATTTTCAAGTGAGTTATAATGAAAAGACATCTGTAAAGGTGAAAAGCCTATTTAATCCTGTTTTAATGAGAGAAATACAGATCAGTGATTATTTTCTTTTAAAAAAGCTATTAGAACTAAAATTAATGAGAAAGGACACTCACAATCGTTAAGAAAATTGAAAATAAGGAAAACTGCTCACAGGATAAAAGGTAGAAATGGAAAGAAAACCTGAGGAAATATACTGTGACGCATCCTTTTATTGAATACGTGTTTTACGTCATTGCTTTTCACAGATGTCTTCTAACCGCAAGGTGGGATTCAAAGTCTATGGAAGTTTCCCTCTAGCATAGTGCCAAACACATGCTAGGCACTTGGGTTGCTAGCGGTTGCTGTATTCACGTTCAGTTGCTATATGTACGTGGAGCCCAGAATGAGCAATGACCATTGTCTTACTCTGAAAACACTGACCAGCTGAGCCCCCGTAATTTTCAGACTTACAGGAAACCTTTACTGTGGGATACCGTGACCTGGAAAGGTTTTAGTGAAACTTTGTACAAACTGATTATCATAGTTTGATTATTTGGCAGTGTGATTTACATAAATACACGTTATTTTACAAATGATTGAACGGTGAAAGTAAATGATACTGGCTCTGCCTGACATTTCTTTTCTGAGTCATTCTGGCCTCCATCGTGGAGCAGAGCCAGCGTCCTAGGGCACCGGGTCACTCACGGGTCCTCTCATGGCTAATTGCCCCTGGAGTCAACCAGGTGATGGCAACCAGCTGTAATAAACTTACACGCTATTCATCGTTTTCATTATTTCAAGAAAAAAATAGTGTATTTTCAAAGAGATCATTGTTTCACTTCATTTTTGTCACCTGACCCAGTTTCCTGTCATGTCTTTTGAACTTATCCTTCTGTAACTCAGCTTTATGTATTAACAAACACTGAAAAAACTAACAAGAGCAAAGACTTTCTGCTTGTAGGTTTAATGAGGAACTTTGGTGGTGTGTTTCCTCTCCTCAGGATGAATGTGGACAGTTTGCGTACGACGCCAACATCCAAATACACTGGGTGTCGTTCCTAGATGGACGCCAGAGGGTTTTGCTCTTCACGGATGACGTTGCTTTGGTTTCTAAAGCGCGGCAGGCAGAGGAACTGGAACAAGCGGATCATGAAATAGTCTTGTCTCTTCACAGTCTTGGACTCTCTCTGGTTAATAATGACAACAAGCAGGAAGTTTCATATATTGGGATAACCAGGTATGGAAGAAATGCAACATCAAAAGTCTCTGGAAGGCATTTGAGTTTGATAATACCTAATTTGATGTGACTAATCAGAATTTGGAATATGAGAAGGCTTCAAGATGTTGTGGAATCATTCCATTATTGTTTAATTCTATTTTTCCATTAACTTTTAGAAGTTAATGCCGCATATGGCCAGTGCCCAGGTGCTGGATGATAGCCATTCTTAACTTTAAGTGGAATTTATGAGTAAGTCAGAACAGGTGATTATAGTTCTTACTTTTGCCTGTACTTTAGTGCAATAAAAGACTTGAAGTCTTTACAAGGATTTAAAAGCTATACATAGCAGCAAGCTGAGGTGAATTTTGATGAATTTGTTGCAATTGGTTCAACCATTAGCAATTGGTTCAACCATTACAAAGTGAGAGCAAATTTACGTAACCTTAAAAGGCAAGTAGGAGCTGCCAGGAAGCTGGGAACCAGAAACTGCCTGTACTGTGTACTCATTCAGCACCATGTATAGAACAGATAGAAAAATGACTAAGACAGTTATCACTCGATGGAGAGAGAGGTTTGTTTGGCTGGTTCTTGTGGTTACAGTGTGTGTACATGTGTGTGTGTGCATGTTTGTCTCATGTGCAGGATTGTGTATATGACAGCATTTGCCTCTTCTGCCTTGAATTCTTGCACTTCTACAAGTGTGTGTTTATGTATTTTAATGAATTATAAAACCACTGAGAAATGCTACAAAGAAGTATGTGCACAGTGCAATGGAAATACAGAGGTAGAACAGGTTTGTGTGTGTAGTAGAGGATGCATGTGACTGGAATAGGTCAGGAGAAGCCAACAGAGAAACAAAGGGGGGGGGGAAACGTTGATTACGTCATTAGAGAAGGTGAATATTGACATGGGTATATATCATTTAGAACTTTGTAATAGTGATGGAACCATTTATTTTCTCTGATTCTATGTAGAACTATATTTGAGTTTCTCGATTTTGGCTTTTTAAATAACGCTAAGTATAGGAAAATGTTCGCTCCTTTTTTGAAGGCTGATAGGTGGAATGGGTCTGATTAGCCTATTGTTTTTGATGGCCAGTGAGCCAGCAGTGGTGCAGGCACTTCTTGGGTTAGAGCATCTAACTTACTGACAACTCCTACTTGCCTTTTAATATTATGTGAATTTGCCCTCCCTTTGAAATGGTGGAACCAACCCCTATTTTCAGTACACTCTTTATCACCATTTTTGTAGTATGTGTGACTTTTAAATCATTGAAAAGGCTGTAAGTGCTTTCTTGCCATAAATTAAGGATCCCTCGTAGTGCAGTGAGTTACATCTTTGGCTACTCATTGCAAAGTCAGCAGTTCAAACCCATCAGCTGCTCCTCAGGAAAAAGATGAGGCTTTCTGCTCCTGGGAAGATTTACAGCCTCAAAACCACAGGAGCAGTTCTCCTCTGTCCTGCAAGGTGCTTGGAGTCAGAAATGACTCCACGGCAAAGAGTTACTTCTGGAAATAAAGAGCCCTTACGCATATGTTCTGACTCACAAATTTCACTTAAAGACACCCTGAGGAACCAATTTAATAGCACAGCACTACCTGTAATTACATTTTTAAGTGGTTGGAAGAAACCAAAGGAAGAATATTTTCTAGCATGAAAATTGTATGGAATTCAGATTTCATTGCCCATCATTAAAGTTTTACTGAAACACAGCCATGCTCATCCTTTAAAATACCCATGGCTGGTGTGTCCCTACCGCTCAGTATGGTATACTTCACAGCGCTGCAGTTATAACTTGACAAAGTGTAGATTGCTGTGTGTTTGGTGATACCACATTTATTTCTTTTTCATTACTAAAGCATCTTCATTATGTCAAAACAAGAAAAGTGAACTTTGAATATAACTTTTTAAGGCACAATGGAATGCAGACCACCCTATTGTCAAATTAAATTGCCAAATAGTGTATTTGTTCCATGTTGGCCCTCCTCTGCGCTAAGAAAGGAAGAAACCAAGCAATGCTCGTTCGTCACGTTGGTTCTCGTTGCCGGGCCCATGTGGCACAGAGCAGACTCCGCAGGGTCTTGTTGGCTGTAATCGTGATGAAAGCAGCTCACCAGACCTATTTGTTACAGTCTTGCTGAGTAAATTTGAACCACAAACTCGTGGGTCTGCCAAATGTATTTGTACAACCCAGGTTGCTGTGCTAAGAGAAGACTGTATATCTTGACATTACCACGCCACACTAAGCACTCATTCCGGTGTGCTCAACTTGTAAGAAAGTATCGGTCAGAAAAATGATAACATTTAAAGCAAAATACTTCATAGGGTACGGTGAATTATTTGATAGCCATAGTCTCTGTAAGTCCCACTCAGTGACTGGGTGGGGCCAGGAAGATAAGGTATATTGGACTCTAAGGTTTGTTGGATAGTTTTGCCATCCTGCTAGGCTTAAAATAAGCCATCTCCGAAGCAAGAATGAGGGCTCTCACTCCCATCAAGAAAGAAGAGCCAGGAGTGGAATGCATCATTTGGACCCCAGGATCCTTACATGCTGCTCCTACCCCATCCAGGAGACAGAGGGTTGTGGACCAGAGATGTGCTGGAGAAGGAGAGAGAGCAAACTTCCTCACCCTGCTGAGCCAGCAGAGCTGAACGAAGGCTTGCTTACAGAAGGCCTGGACGCTTCCAGCCACTTAATTGGACTGCTAGGTTTGCTGACCCAGGGAACACCTTTGGGCAGAGACTTAGTGGTGAAGTGGTATATAGTTACCTGAGCTGGGAAGAGGCCACAGGGAATAGTTGGGAAGAGGTGTTCCTGACTGTGAGAACTGTACTTTTGAGCATTCCTGATGATGCTAATTTCCCTCATAAACCCCATAATCGTGAGTAGGGTCTGTGAGTTTTGTGTGACCATTGTATTGAATCTCCTAACCCAGCCGAGGTGCAGCGAAAGCTTTGGGAAGGACAGTTGGTGTCAGAATTGGTAATGAAGGTTGGTGGCTGGAGGCATGTCTGACCTCCATTTCTCAGGAATGAACCTGGGGCTAATGTTGAGCAGTAGTCTCCTCCTCCCCTGTGAAGTCAGAGGTCATTTGCCACCTCATGCCCTTCTGATGTCTCACCACAGCAAAATTTATTTACTAAGAAAAAGAGAAAATGAGGCTACAAAGTTGACTGATGTCAAATGTGTGATAGAAAAACATTTTCCCTGTGCCCCTTTTCTCTAGATGTGCGTCTAATTTAATTTTCTCTGTGAATTATTATAGTTCTGGTGTTGTTTGGGAGATGAAACCCAAACAGAAATGGAAGCCTTTTAGTCAAAAGCAGATAATCGTGTTGGAACAGGCGTACCAGAAATACCAAGCATCAGGAAACTCGGGCTGGATTAAACTAGACACTAATTTTGAGGTAATTCCAAAATGTGTGCATTTGGGCTATTGGTGGTAGTAGTTGTGAAGAAGCAAACCATTATTGTCCAGAACATGTGTAGAGAACTTGATGTATTAATAAACTCTTACTTATTAGCAAGATGGTCATGGCTAAGACATTGTCAATGAAAATATGTTGTGATTGAGTCCTATACTGCGAAACCGGCTTTGAATCTTTCTCTTCTTTATTCTTATCGTTGGTTTTGTTTATAAGCCAGAGAGTTTCCTAAAACTTGTTTACTTTGCAGTGAGATTATGGAGGATCAAAAGCTACTTTTGTCACTTTTTCCTCTGCCATTTTTAAATGATACCAGTGTAGAATGTTGTATATTCAGCTGGTGAAAAATCCATACAGGCTGTGCTCAAGTAAACTTGTGAAGCATGAATGACTATTGGACTTGGGTGGATGTCTGCAGATAAAGGTCTCCTCTACATGGACTCTGAGGACTTACACTGAAAGTCACCCCTGCTTTCAGAAGGCCCGGATGTTTGACTGTAATTTCTAGCTTGCTCTGGTTCCCTCGTAGGGTTTTCCTTATTTCTGTGTTTGGAGTCTGATGGCTGAGTTTGTCCTGATCACCAGGCATACTTATATCTTCCTTATAGAAGTCAATATTGGCCATGCTCACATAACAAAATACCAACAAATTAGTGTGAGACACAAACAAGTAAGCTATTGTTTTTGTTATGTGCTGACCAGTTGATTCTGACTCGTAGCCGCTCTACTAACCATGATAAAACAGTGATCTATTCTTTCAGTTTTAATAAAATCATGACTCATATTTTCTCTTAGTCATTGAAATGTGCCCCCGTTATTTTCCTCATAACATTGGTAGAAGAGTGACAGGTTTTGCTTCAAAGACCCTACCTGTAGATCACCTTTGGGTGTATCTTCTGTTGAGGTGAAGAGCTAGAGATCCGTTCCCTGCCAATCTCAAGAGTAAATGGGCGTTTGAGATGGGCCAGCTGCACTGCTAGCATCCACCCATTACAGAGACAGACGTATGCTTTTTTATTCTAGGTGAATTTTGATAAAGCCCCAATGGAAATGCGACTGCCTATCCGGTGCCCTATTAAACGAGATTTTTTATCTGGAATTCAGATTGAATTTAAGCAGTCTCCTCATCAGAGAAGTTTAAGGGCCATGTTGTACTGGCTTCAGGTAACATTGTCATCTTCAAATAGACATATAATTACTTTGGGAACTTTGGGATGGAATGTCTTCACAAACTTGTAGCATACATTGTAATTAGCTTCTTTTTTGTTTTGTTAACATATTTTCCTCTTTTATCATGTATTTTGTGGATTCAACACCTTACTGACAATTCAGTTCCTAAGCCCCTGTGACGTGGGAGGCTGTTTAATTTGATCAGTTAACTAGCACCACCAGTCTTACTCCTTAAGACTGTAATTTATTTTTGAATGCTACCTTGAATTTGTCATAGAATCTTCGTCATTCTTCAGGGGAAAGAGCAGAGTAGGACTTAATTGAAGCTTATTTTTAGATATTCCCTTTGCTCCTTTTCTTTCAACTTCTCACGAGTACTCATATTTTAGGTATTTTTATTCTTTTTCTTCTTCCTAGTTATCCTCTAATTTCATACCAGTTTCTTTTGATACCATTTAAATTATAGAGAGTTGAAATCTCACATGATATAAGCTATATTTCCGTTGATGGTGTACGTGCTGCACAAAGTTAAAACAGTTAATTCGGAGAGTTTTTGTCTCTGCCTTAACTGAAAGGCTCAGGCTTGCTGAGGTCTATGCAGCTTCCTCTCTATAGATTTAAAGTGAAACGTCTAGTAGCACCACATACAAGTACACACAGATGCTTAGGAACTGAATTGGCATCTTCCAAAATCCTGTCTCCTAACCAACAGGTTATGTTTCATTTATTTTAAATTCTGCTGAATTGGCTTTTCTTTTCTTTCAGGTTGATAATCAGTTACCCGGCACCATGTTCCCTGTTGTATTTCATCCTGTGGCCCCACCAAAGTCTATAGCTCTGGATTCTGGTAAATAATTCAGTAAGAATCATGATGAGAATATTCAGTCCAGATAGATCCTATTACAGATCTAAGTGAAAATTAATTACATTGTTCTTATAAAAACCTTGACTGGGGTTTTCTTGCTTCTCTCTCTTAGAGCCGAAACCCTTCATCGATGTCAGCGTCATCACGAGGTTTAATGATTACAGCAAAGTCCTGCAGTTCAAGTGAGTTCAACTCCCCTGCCTAAAGGAATTGAAAGTCAGGCTTTACTCTGGCGATACGTTTTATTATTTGAGAACGTGAATTTTAAAATGATTTTTCAAAACACAGACTGTATACACACCCATGTTTATTGCAGCCATTTCTGTCACAGCAAAATGATGGAAACAGTCAAAAAACCCCAGCGTAGAGGACTTGATAACAAACTCTGGTACATCCACACAACGGAATATTATGTATCCTATAAAAACATTGACATCGACAAGCTGTCAAATACCTCAAACCACGGTCAGAACTAGAGAGCAGTCAGTCAGCCAAAGCAGTCCATCTCATGAAGACAACTATTTCATGGCACCATTGTTAAAAAGGAAAACAATGACAATGGCTTTCATACCAAAGGATGACTTTAAAGACTTTTAAAACGTGGGGGGAGGGGCGCAGGAAAAAGAAGGCAAGGAGGGAGGGAGGGAGGGAGGGAAAAGAAAAAAACGAACCAAGAGTGACCACATAGACAGAGGCTTTAATGGAATACCATCACAGATTGATGAGATGGGCTGTGCAGTTATAGGCTGTGCGTGTGTATGTTTGTCTGTACAGACATGTGCACACACACATGCAGATGTTTATAGACAAAATGAAGTTACGTTTTGAAAAAAAACCAAAAAGCTGAAGAGTAGCATCCTTCACCATCCGACCTCAACATTGGTCTGAGTGGCTATAAAAGAAGGAAAACTAGAAGTGAAAAATGACTTGGATTCTTTTCTGATGTACAAGTTAGTTTAAAAGCAAAAGATTTTCCAACTGAATGTTCTAATCTACTGTTGGTCAAGTAACTTTTTTTCAGTTGAAACTTATTTTAATATTAGCCTTTACATATTTTAAAATATAAGATTCCTTAAGGTACCTTCTCATTTTACTAGCCTCAGCTAGACTCTGAAAGAGTCCGTGAGGTCTAGATGACCCGAGTACTGCTCGGCCTTGAGGAGGGTGATGCACGCTGCACGCCTAGGTGTTCTGGTCTCTTCTGTCACCTGATGAGTCTGGACTGTGGGACGCTGTGCACTCTGTGTTAGCAAGCAGTGTTACTTCTGGTGAAAGGTGCTGCGTCCCACTCTAGTTAGACAATCTTATTAACTGATCTTATCCCCGCGCCCTTACAAGGAAGTCAGTAGCATTTATTCAGTGCCAGGTTAAATACATCCTCACAATGACTCCATTATTGTCCCCATTTAAATATGAGGAAACGGAGATTCTGTAATCTTTCTGAGGTTACGCAATTGGGATGCATGTTGCTGAGCTGAGTGAATGCTGTAGCATCAGAATGGCACATACATGATGCCAATCCCTTCTCCAAGTGGCTCTGTGAAGAAGTCAGGGCAAACAGCACCGTCCTCACATGCAGATGAGGGGAAAGGGTAGCAACTTGGAAGAGGAAAATGGAAAAATAAATCAGGAATGGAATATGATCAAGGAGCTCTCTCACATGGACCATTTTGACACATCTGGAACCACAGTGTCTGGAGGCCAGACTGAGCGAGCAGATCTGTTTTGCGTCAACCGTGCCTTCGATAATTCTGGTGAGCTGATTAAGGGTGGGGTGCTGGGGAAAGCTGGCACCTACTATGCCTTTCAGTAAATGCTGGCTGAACAGCTAACTGAACAAACAAATGAGCCGGAAGAGGGAGACCCAGCTTCTGACAAGGTCAGTTCTTGTGCTAGCGGTGAGACTTTCAGAGGGGTCTTTAAATCTTTCGGAACCTTGACATATCCTTTTAAAAGAGGTGAAGGAACAGATCTTACCATGGCTTTTGGCCAGAAACAACAATTTTATGTTAAAATTACAAAGTTCGATAGAAACTTTTCCCTATCTGTATTTGACCTTTTCTTGCTTTCTTTTTTGAACATATTAAAAAAAATAAAACCTTAATCAATGCCTTAACCAACATCAACAATTAGAACAACAGCAGCAAGATAAACCTTCAGGAACTAGTAGAAAAAATCAATACAGATTATTGCAAAAGTAAACAAATCAGAAAACAGGAAAACACTTGAAAGAATTAACAAGACAAATAGTTAATTCTTTGAAAGGATTAACAAAATTGACAAATCTCTGACAAAATTAAAAAATGGAAAAGGCACAAATGCAAATATCAAGAATAAAAATGAAGGAGGTGCCTCACATCAGAACCAACTGAAGTCAAATATAGACTAGCATAGTAATGTAGAAGACTGCCCTCTATCAAATTTGAAAACCTAAAATAAATGGATAAAGTTCTGGAGATATAGCCTCTGGAAATAAGCAGACTGATGTAGAAAATCTTGGTACACCATAACAAAAGAAAAAGTCCCCACACAAGTCATGGTGCTGCCTTTGTGAGTGAGCATTAATTGGAAGCTTTGTCCTATCTCCAACCCTCATGTTTTGCGTAAATGGTGTCCCACCCGAGTTTCTGATCTGTGCATCGACCTTTTTCTCCACAGGTATTTTATGGTCCTCATTCAGGAAATGGCCTTAAAAGTCGATCAAGGGTTTCTAGGAGCTATTGTTGCACTGTTTACTCCAACTACTGACCCTGAAGCTGAAAGAAACCGGGTATCCATTTTTGTTTCTTGGCAAAATCGTAAAATGAATATTTCATCAACTTTTTAAAGCTAATTGTCATGGAGAAAGAGGCTAAACTAGAAAATTTTGGTTTAATTTTCTTATAGACGAAGTTAATCCAACGAGATATTGATGCTCTAAACACAGAATTAATGGAGACTTCAATGACTGATATATCAATGCTTAGTTTCTTCGAACATTTCCATATTTCTCCAGTTAAGGTTTGTTGTAATAATTATTTTAAAACTTTGGCAGAATTGTTAAGAACTTCCAAAGAGTCTGTATAGATACATAGGTCCTAAGTCGCTGCATCAAATATTTGGCAGGAACTCTGATTGATTAATTGAAATAATTAAGACAGTTCCCTGTAACATATGTGTAGCCGTAATTCCTGCAGAGAAACCACCAGCGCATGTGTCCTCTAGTCTTGAATTCTTCCTTTGTTCTAGAAGAAGCTGACAAAAGCATTTCTTAATTAAGCATAGAAGTGCCTGCCATCATTTAATGTTTTGGTTGCACTCTGAAACTCCTATCACTATCTAAACAGAAAGCTGTAATGGGGGTCTTAGCGAGGATGTGGAAATGCTGAAGCGCGTATTACCCAGTTGATGTGGTTCTTTCCCCCCTCTCTTCTAAAATGTGATTGTAACTAAGAAAGTGGAAAATTGGATACCTTTCACTTGCCTGATTTTGTACTCTCTGAACCCATTTTCTTTTATCCTCTTGTCCTTCTTTCTCGCTTTTATGGGGGAGGTGACTCTTCAGTGAATTCACAAATGCCACCAACTATCTTGCTGTAAACTTGTGTAATGGGCCAGACTTAGAATTAAGTAACTCTTTTAAAAATGTCAATGATCCTTTACATTCTCAGAACTGTTTACAGTACATTATTTCACTTACATTCACTAATGCACTCAGTTAAACAAATGGCTTTATAAAATCGAATCATTCTTAATTGATTTATCAATTTGAGGATCTCAGACATCTTAGAGTGTTGGGTTTAAAACTTGTGTTTTTGTGATAAATTATGTGTAATTTATTTCCCATTCAAAGCTCAAATATAAAAATTCAAAATCCCAACTCATGGTGACTATAGGACAGCATAGAATTGCTCATGTGGGTTTACCAGACTGTTAACTATTCACGGGAGTAGAAAGCTGACCTTGTGGTTTAGCAACTCAATGCGTAAAATTGAACAATACTTTAAACAAGCATTCACATAGTATTTACTATCTAAATTTCCATGATAACTAGAAAATGGCTTCATAGAGCTTAAGAGTTTTTAAAAGATCAATAATTTGCTAGATCATGTTTGTAAGTAGCCTGAGGGTTATTCCATGAAGCTAGATAATTAATATTAGGAAGTACACCTACTTTCTTATTCCCTGATGGCTTTGCTCTGGGGAGAGGTTGACACTCTGTCCACCAGACCACTTTAGAATCCAAGTCCTCCCTGCATCAGCATCAGGTGGGCAGCAGTCCACACCACAGAAATGAGGTACACTGTTGAGAGTGATCTGGTTTATTTACTCGTGTCAAATTACATGTTGCCCGCGTCTTCTTTTACTGTTGCAGTTAGTAATGATTCAGCACAAAGAAGGAAAGCTCTTTGGAAATGTGAAACTTACGTATTTAACTACCAAGATAAAGATGGATGGGGAATCCTAAAACTTGTCCACTTGTTTTTACATTTTATTGGGGCATTTGTAATTGCCATAAGGGATTAGCATAATTGGATGAAAATAAAAGATGATTATTTTGACTGGCAGATTGCTTGTGTGCCAGTATGCCTCTGTCCATACCATGGTTAGTCCCTGTTGTCCAGCTCCTTCTTTCCGAGCCAACTGCCCAGACCCTTTCAACACAGCACAGCTCTGTTTGGGGATCAGACTAGTAGTCCGTGGAAAGTAGATATGAGAGTCAGCTACCCGTGAGTCCTGTGCGGTGTCTAGAGGGACATATCCTGGCTTTCTGTTGGCTTGTAATGGAAAGTTCTAGTATTTGGAGGATCTGTGGTCTTAGTACGTATTTGAAAAATACTTCTCTCATAAAAATTATTTTCTTGTAGTTGCATTTGAGTCTGTCTTTGGGTTCTGGAGGTGAAGAATCAGACAAAGGAAGGCAAGAAATGATTGCAATTCATTCTGTCAACTTGCTGTTGAAAAGCATAGGAGCTACTCTGACTGACATGGACGACCTCATATTTCAGTAAGAATTGTCTGACCGTGCTGGGAGGCTTTTCTACCAAGCTTATGTTTCCAGGTTGTTTCCCTCTTTTTGTGCTCAAATGCTAGCTTAGGAAAATGCTAACTCAATGATCCTTGGAGAGTTTTGTCTCTTTCTAATTATACTTGTGGGTATACTTATTTTCTTTATAAGAAAAGGTAACGAACCTTTATATTTTCTTTGATTATTTATTTCTAAGGAATATAATAATGTAGAAGGAAAAATTATTTGAGGAAAATTTAAATATTTCAGTATATAATAAATTTTTATAAATGTTTTAAAACAAAGTTCTATTTAGAAATATGTAGTGATTGGATAAATGAGCTTTTGATGTAATCATATGATGTACATACAGAGAATAAGAGCTCATTGCTATATTTAATATGAGAATATTTATATGTGCCAGGTGTTTAAAAATTGAATGCATGTTCATTGAATTTTGGAATAAAAGTCCATTTCCCATGTTTTGAGAATGATGAGGGCCATGAATGTACAAATGTGCTTTACACAATTGATGTATGTATGGAATGTGATAAGGGTTGTATGAGCCCCTAATAAAATGATTTTAAAAAAAATCCATTTCCCACCTCACATGTATACTACCAAATTTCAGAGGAATTGAGAGATTTTTAAAACATAGTTGTTCCAGTTTCTGAATAGAGGAAGTCTTTCTAAGCATAAAAGAAAGCAGTGGGAAAATTCCCATGGGAAATAATAAATTTGACCATGTAAAGATCAGTCATTGTAACAAAATATTATAAACAATCATAAAAAAGAACTGGGGAAGATAAGGATGAACACGACAGAGAACATTTCGTAGTTTTAATATTAATTTTTTAAGCTTCAAGATTTCAACAGCATAATGTCCAGAAGACATTATGGGTTTCAAAAGTTCACTGTCTTTTCATTTCATTTTTCTACAAACATTTTTGAAGTCTCCAATATAGACAATAGATCAGCACTTCTAGAACGAGAGAGGAATGAGTGTGAGAACTGGACCCCCCTTTTGTTGTTTATGCTTAGGGAAGTAGAAAGTGAGTCTGTCAAAAGCCTTAAATGTTTGGACTCTTTGCCTCAGCAATTCTGTCTTGAGATTTCAGTCCAGAAACTAATCTTGAATGACAAGAGACCATAAGATACATCCCCAAAGCCAAATTCACTGCCACCCAGTCCATTCTGCCGCATAGCCACCGTGTGTAGGACGGAGTAGGACTGCCCCTGTCTGGGGTTTGAGGCTCCCAGTCTTGACTGAAGCAGAAAGTCTCATCTGTCTCTAACTGGTGGGTTTCAACTGCTTCCTTTGTGCGTAGCACCCCGACACCGAACCCACACTGACACCAGAGGTTCTGATAAGAAGATGCATATGAAACAGTAATTATTGTACCAGAAATTGGAGCTTTGTGACAGTAGAGGAATTGTTCATTATGAAAATACTCACCTGGTAGAATGTTATACACCACTAGAAATAGTTATATAGAATTTTAAATAACATGGAGAAATACTTATCCACAGTGCTGAATAAGGAAGTGGCAATACAGAATGTTTTAAATAATTTACAATTGCAAGAAGCAGCAAATCAATAGTGGGAAAAGATGAAAAAATTCCACAGGATGTAGTAGGTTATGGATGTCTTTTTAAAACTTTGTTGCTTATATTTGTTTAAGATTTATAGCGAATGCCCTATATTTATAATGGTGGTTTGTGCATCATATTACGCTATTATTTGTGGCATATGTGCAAAGTTAATGTGAAAGAATTAGCTGTGATTCATTTTATGTTAAGTATTCCCTTTTCAGAATATAATTTTAGTCCCTGTGAAAATTTTCTTTTTCTCTTCTCAGACTTGCTTATTATGAGATTCGCTATCAGTTTTACAAGAGAGATCAGCTCGTTTGGAGTGTTGTTAGACATTACACTGAACAGGTAATTCCCTCTTACAGTAGCTCTTAAAGAACATGCTTCTTAAACTACCCGTGTAAAACGTTGCTATGAGATTGCACAGGGTGTGGTAAATCTGCCAGAATTACCTCAGTTAGCCATCTCCTTGCCTAATACTTTCTGGAATGATTAACTTCATATCTTTCTTTACTTATTTATCCTGATAAACACCTTGAACATTTTCCCTCTGGGGTCTCCCCTATTGTGGTGACCACTTTTGAAAAGAACAGTGGTTTCGATGGGAGTTATTGCAGTTTGTTTATTCAGTGAGGGTGGTTTCTAAAGACAGTCTAGTGATCTGGGAGAGGAAGTCTAAGCCAGGCTGCTCGGTGGTTCAGATGTCACAGAATGACGTCATAGTTGTTAAAGGCCTCCTGGTGCCATTACTGTGTCCTGGAATTCAGGGTGGTAAGCTTGCTTTGCTTCCTTTGATGGAAGATCTTTTTCCTACGATGAATATAGACATTATGGTTATTACATGTTCAAATAGTGAATCTGTTTTCACTTGTTTCAGTTGTTACTTGTCCCCTATGTAATTGAATAGTGAGGCTAAGGTAAAACTATAAACAGCAATGAGTGAATTATGCATTTGTGTAATAGAGATCGTTGATCGTGCAAGATCAATATAAGCTCCCGTTTTATACGTGAGAAAACAGACCTATTGGAACGAAGTGCTTTTCCAAGGCCCGTGGCAGACCTGTGTCTCAAAGGCCGTGCAGACTGTTCGCACATTGCTCGTCGGTTCCGACTCGTAGCGACCCTGTGTACAAGAGGAGGAGCGCTGCCCAGCCGGCACCAGCCTCAGAGCGTCCTTCATAGAGGAAGAGGTCAATCAGTGGACACGAGGGCTGGGACCATATTCTGCTTTCCTGGACCATAGGCCTCATCCTCCTGTTTTGCATCTCAGAAGAGTCGCCAAGGGTTTCATTTATTTATTTCTTCTTTCTTTCAGTTCTTGAAACAGATGTATGTCCTTGTGTTGGGTTTAGATGTGCTTGGAAACCCGTATGGATTAATTAGAGGGCTGTCTGAAGGAGTTGAAGCGTTATTCTATGAGCCCTTTCAGGTATTCCTCTTTTTTAAAGCTTGGGTGTAGAAAAATGGTTTTTTAAATCTTTATATGCTAATTATGATTTCCATTTTAATTGTATCTGCCTGGGAATTGAATAATGTTCAAATAACAAAACACACTGGGGTGACACTGAAAGATTGTTGTCAGATTAGTTGAGCTATCCAGGCAATAAAACGTGCCCACATTGCCCAGGATTTCACGTCGTTGTAAGAATGTTTGGGGTATTAGGTAGAGTAAGACAGTTTCAGACGTTCACCGCCATGGAGAAGATTAATGGCGCATTAGAAGATGCCTGCCTTTGCTTCATATGTAAGCTTTCACTTTAAATGCCAGAGTGTGGTGGTGCTAGAAGGTCAGAGGAAAGAGAATGAATGGGGAAACGGAGCCCAACAGAAAGGGCTGCGCTTGTACTCTCAGCTTTGCCACCAGTGTGGTTGGCTGCACACGTCCACTAGAGCTTGGTTGTAAGAGGTCAGCTACAAACAGTGATGCAAACCAGTGATTTTCCTCCACTCAGTCGTGCTTCTCAGAGAATTGCTGGGATCACGTGGGGTGAGAGTGCCCTCAGATATCATCAATAGATATGGCTTCAGTTCTGAGAGTGATGGGTAAAAGTGAGGTCGTCTCAATGGTAGGGAGTTTCACTACAGATTCTTCGTCTTGGAAACCCTGAAATATTATATTAAAAACCTCAGATTATTTAAACTTTAAATATATATCCTTATAAAGCCCCCCCTCCCTTTTTCTTTTTCTTTTTGGTAATGCCAGGGTGCTGTTCAGGGCCCTGAAGAATTTGCTGAGGGTTTAGTGATTGGAGTAAGAAGTCTCTTTGGACACACAGTAGGTTTGTATCACATACTTGTATGTGTAAGTATATATATTTATATATTTCATTATAGTTACTACAAAGTAGTACAATTCAGAAAACAGATCAATTTTATAAAAACACTTATAAAAGACTTGTAGCACTGACCCTTCACATGTTTTTTTAAAGTCTGTGGCGCTGAATTGTTGCACTTTAAATCATTTAATTGTTCTCGATAATTGAGAAATGTAGTTGTTGGTAGATGGTATCGAGTTGGTTCTGCCTCACAACAGCCTCTGGACCGCAGAATGGACCCTGCCCGGTCCCAGCCGTCCTCACGCTGTTCCTCTGCTTGGGCCCGCTGTTGCCACCACGGTGTCAACCCTTCTTGTCAAGGGTCGGCCTCTTTTTTTTTTAAATCATTTTATTGGGGCTCGTACAACTCTTATCACAATCCATACATACATCAATTTGTAAAGCACATTTGTACATTCCTTACCCTCATCATTCTCAAAACATCCGCTCTCCACACCACTCTCACCACTGGTCCTGAAGGGATCACCTGTCCTGGATTCCCTGTTTCCACTTCCTATCTGTACCAGTGTACATCCTCTGTTCTGGCCAGATTTGTAAGGGTAGAACTGAGATCATGATAGTGAGGATGGGGGTGGTGGTGGGGGGGAAGGGAAGAAGCACGTAGGAACCAGAGGAAAGTGGTATGTTTCATCATTGGTACACTGTACCCTGACTGGCTCATCTCCTCCCCACAACCCTTCTGTAAGGGGATGTCCAGTTGCCTACAGATGGG